ATATATATATATATATATATATATATATATATATATATATGGGTCTAACCACCCCTGTTTTGGACACATTAGCCCCACGTGAAGAAAATTACCACAAGACAGGATTTAGTGTCTGCTTTAATTGCCTCTGGGGCCCCCCTGGCAATACTATTTCTAATTATGCGATTGATGTTTTGCCGGATGACTCTGCTGGGCAACCTACACCTACAAACATTATTGAAAACAATACTGAAGGATCCTTATCTATAAAGTAAAATGTTTGGTCCGATAATTAGGAGAGCCTTGCAACTCTTCATCCCCAGGAAGTATACGGTGCAAAGGTAACCATTCATACTTTACATACACTAGAACCTAATGTGGTTACAACAATTGACAATCCTTCTACTGCAATTCTATCACCTCATCTAAACGAGCAAGCCGTTACTATTAGTCAGGCGCAAGGGATTCAACAACTTATATAGCCCCGACAATCTGTTGATCAACATACTGATCAGATGAACTAGTCTTCGGACTAGGAATGACAGATTTACACATCCAGGAGGAAGAAGAAGAATTGTGACCTACTTGAGCTCAGAAATCTAATGGATGATATGTTGGTTACTTCTGGTAATGACATGCAACTCATCAATTTGCTAGATGACTCATTTCCTAGAATTAGAGGCAGAGGCAAGACTAAATTGAGTCGTCCCTAAGCACATTTTGGTGGTTTTGACTTTTTTTGGTATTACATGTATCTTTACTTTTTTGTGTGTTGTACCGTGTGGGTAGGGTACCTTTCTAGGCCCACTCATATAATCTATTTGTATCCTTTCCTTTTTTTAATATATATATATATATATATATACACACACACATACTAAATGCTAAAGTGTAATTATGCATGCTTTAAGAAAAAAACGAACAAATCCTTGTTCGTGTTCAACTCCTTTATATATCAAATACTAGAAAATTATTTATGTTCAACTCGTTTGCTTAGCGAACGAATCGAACACGAGCCTCTTAACAAGCCGAACACAAACTGTTCCCGAACAATAACCCTTTTTGGCAGCCTCACTTTTTATATTTTTGCCGCCCTAATCTTTCATATCACATACAACCATTTTAACTTTAAAAAAGTGAAATACACATTTTCATACATAAGGTGGTATGTATGTAAATCTGCCATTTTATTAGCATTATTTGTTTTGGTTAAAGGTCTTACGCAATAGTTTGTAGAATCAAGATACAACACTAAAAAAAATGACACGAGGCTTTATCAAAACCGCCCGTTGAACATACATGAATATAGTAATCATGCATGGTTAAATATGATCTTATTGATGAAAATGTATTTCATGAATGTTCTTTTGAAAATGAATCATATCATATCTACAGTTATAATTGGTTTCTTTTGATATTGTGGGAAATGAATCTTCACCTACATTAGAATCTTTTTATGTACTCGAACCTAAATTTGAGCGACATTCAGAATTGAATGAGTATTAGACGACATTCAGAATTGAATGAGTATGAGAACAATTTTGAATCCAAACCTTAAAGAGAAATTAAACTTGACAATCACGTTGGATCTATGTTTATATTTAAACTTGAACTGCAACTTAAACCGGAATCCAATCTTTCCTCTGAATCTGAGCTTTTATGTGAAATTCAGTTTATTCATCAATTGAACCTACACCTTTAATAGAATCTGTTCTTGATAAGAACTTGAGCCCATAGAAGGCAGCGATTCTAGTCTTAAATGTACAATTGAACAAATTTTGTTTACTATGCTTGATGAGTCAGTTGATCAAAATAATATAGTGATTTTCTAAATGTAAAAATGAACAAATAATATCCATTATAGTTTATGAATCAATTAAGTGAATTCATAAATAATTCATTAGATGTTATTTGCTGATATCATTACTATGATTGATGTTCACCATGATATTTATTTTATTTAAGTTTTGTTTCTGATATGCAAAATCATAAAAGAATCTTTGTGAGAAAGTAAAATTGAATAATTATTTTAGTGATTTTTTTAAAGAGTGCCTTAAAAGAATTTAAATTTGAACTTTCATATGTTTGGATGAACATAAAAGAGCACAAATCTTCAACACTAATAATTTTGCCATTTTGGTTAATTTTTTGAAGTTCTTATTCATTCATATAGTCATATCATTTTTTTTAGTTTCTCTTCAATTTTCTATGTCGTATTATTATTTATAAATTGTTATAAGTTATTTTTGTCTTTTGAACATGTTTGATATTTTATATTTTCATTTCCTGTAAACTCACTAGTGATTTCAGTTCAACTTTTGTCAGATTTTAAGAATAGTACATGTTGCAATCTGTTGTTGTTCCTTCTGTGGTTGTGGTATCCTCTATTTCCTTACACTGGCTTGGTTGGTTGGTAGCTGATCCTAGTTACATGCACTAAAATTTCTATCTTTTTTGTTACCGTTCATTGGCTACATTATAAGGTAGTCTGTTTCTCTGCTGGCTTTGTAGTCTTCTACGGAATCTTGCTGTTTCTATGATCAGATATTTTATTTTTGGGGCATTTGCTTACATAGCGCACAGTCCTTATGTATTTTCATATCTCACACCTAAACTTTCATTTTTACACTCATAGCGCACAAATCTTCAATACCATCTTAAAAATAGCACTATTATCACTTTTTAAAAGTCAAATACACCTTTCGATACCTTTCGATGCATATGTTTAAAACATCAAAATGCTATGTATTTAAATATGGAAGCTTAGGTGTGAGATATGTAAAACATAAGACTTGTGTGCTATGTATGTAAATTTCCATTTATATTTTTGCTATATACAATCCAATTTTGTACAGGGAAGTGGGTTCTTTGACTTAGCGTGCATGTTCTTCTCATTTCCTTATGAAGTCTCAGATTATGTGCTACTTGAACTTTATACTTCCTTCTGTAGTAATGTTCAGTTGTTTACTCTCGTATACTTGTTTTGGGTACAACTGGGATTGTTTATTGATATTTTTGGATTGAAAATTTTTATATTGATGAAATCAAATGATGTTGAAATTTAAACTTGCAGTTATTACTAGATTTTTGGAAATTCTGATATGTTAGTTTTTTATAGTTTTCATTATAAGCAGATCCTTGAGCATGTAAAATTTAGTCCATATTTTATTGAAAATTTTGCTTCTTTTGAATACTTATTTGCTTTACATGAGAATTCTTCATGCGCTTTACAAGTATCAAAGGCTTATCTTGGTATCAATTTGAGGCATGAATCTTTAGACTGTTGATTTCCATTATTCTTCTTTCATCTAGCTTATTTTGTAATTGGTTTGTGTGTTTGATTAATATCTTATGTAGTTCGTTTCATATTAGTTTATTTTTTTTGGTGTGAATCTTAATAACTCTGGAATTTTGCATCCATTATCAGATTTCATGTGAAATTTAAAGACCTTATATTGCTGTATGAATGAATTAAACTTTTTTTCTGGTTTTGCACTAAAGAGCCTAATCTTTACGTGAGTTAAAAATTGAGAATATCTCAAAAATGTTTAAATTGAAATAGATTATTAAGTGGAATCTTAAACCTGACTAAAGCAATAGCTATCGTATGGTTGGCCGCGAGTATGATGATGAATTAGCTCATTTTCTGGTTTTTTTGTGACTATTTAAGAATTGCAAAACGTGCTCCAAATATAATTTGAAGCCTTCTGACAGGGTCCAACCTCAGTCTGATTTCTTTCTTTTTGGGAATGAACAGGTATGAATTGTTTGTTGGTCAGCCACCATTTTACACAAATTCAGTGTATGCACTTATTCGACAAATTGTGAAGGTCCATATGTTCTTATCTCTTTGAGATCCATTTGTATACTACAAGTTGATCTAAAAAATACCATTTAAACTTTTTTAGTACCTGTAATAGGATCCAGTGAAATTTCCTGAAGATATGAGCTTAAATTTCAGGAACTTCTTGAAGGGTTTGCTTAACAAGGTTATTTTCTTGCATTTTCCCACAGTGGTCTTCGGGAACCCATTTTCCAATCTTGTGAATATCTGATGTAATTTGGTTTCTGCAGGTACCAGAGAAAAGGCTATCTTGGCCGGCTCTATTGGAGCACCCATTTGTCAAAGAACTTACAAAGGATAACTTAACCTTTGTAAGTTCTGCCTTTGAGAGAAAAAAAATCTTGAGCAATAGCTAGTTTCACTCCAAAAAACTGTTCCTTTGAACCGACCTTATATGCAGGGTTTTTTTTCCCTATGAATTTACGATAAAAAGTGCAGGGTGCTGGTAATGTCTCCTGCAAGGGATTTGTTGGCACAGACAGGAGGGAAGCAAACAACTGCACTCTTGATCTACCATCTGAATCTGCTGCTGACAATACTTGTAATATTCTCTGTTGTTTAACACATTGCTTTATATTGGAACATTTTGTTATGGAATTTGAATTTAACTTTTATAATTTGTGATAGTTAAGGCGAGCTCTTCTTCTCTGGACTGTGACAAAAATGAAAATCTCTGTTCCAATGTCCCTGTAGACAGTCCTGGTTTAGCCACAAATGGTCAGTATGATGAACCATTAGTATGTCAACGTTTTCCCGGAAATTATCAATCAGGTATTGGTCTCTTTCATACATCAACAAAGGATTCTAGAGTTTCGCTACAAATGCCACTTTTTTTATTATAATACTTGCAAATACCTGTCTAATCACATCCTAGGATTCAGTATTTGACAACTAGAGTACTCGGTTGGCTCTTTCTTTGACTTCGGATGGAAACAATGAAATCTATGCTTGACATGCGATCATATGGTTTAAATTATTTTAAGAAATCGACACAAGTAATCAGTTAAATTAGTGTTGATTTCTTAAAATAACAAGATTATCATGACGAAACTTCTAGCCTGTCACCCTAGAGTCTTCTTCTCCTAATAACCCTCTAATTGGCTTAACCTTAGATTTAAGTTACGAAGCCCTAGATCAAATTGGTTAGGAATTTAGCCTACCACTCTAGAAACACCAATTTACACCCATCAACGAATATCTTCCTAACATTGCATTAATTTTAGGACTACTTTTTATTCACCTATCAGTTCAATTTGGTTCTTCCTAATTTTTAAATTCATAGCCCTCTCAAAACTTATGACTTACAATAGGTTTTAACATACCAATTGACCAGATTGATTAGCAAATGAAGCATGAAGTAAGAACCATCACTATGATATAAAAAACCTATTCTAACATGCATTCTAACATCTTAAACATTCATCCAATTCATTGCAAAAGAAAAGTACAAGAATTATACTTCACAAAGCAAGTATCACACAACATAAAACTTCATTAAATTAAAGCAAATTCATTAGATAAGTGTTTACAATAAGTATAAGATAATAAAGAACACAATACTTAGCTTTTTTCTTCTGAAAGAAAAATGAAAATCTCTTCAAAAAAATTGCCTGCTGATCCATGCAATGTTAATACAATCCCTTACGTATATCTCTCAAAATTTTCTCACCAATCTCTTCAGAAAATGTAAAAATATATATTTCCGACTTTTATTTATGACCTCTCGGCCTTCTTGGAGAATTTCAGGACTTAAAAAATACTAAAAGGTCATTTTCCAAATGCCTAGATTCGTCAAATAACTCCTTGGGGCGTGCATAAATTGTCCCTGGACAGTTCAGGCTGAGAATGGCGCCTAGGCGACGTCTTCTCTGTTTTCTGGGCTGAGAGGCGCCACTCTGCTGGCAGCACCCCCATTTGCTCACATTTGCTTCTGTTTCGCCTTGTTTCAGCTCTAATCCGCTCCAAGTGTTATATCTGCAAGATAATCATGAAAATACTCTTTCTTTAAAATACAATTTCATTCAAAAACATATGATAAATGTAAAGGTAATTAAATATAAAAAAATATCAAAATTTCCCAAATTTAAACGTTACTTGTTCTCAAGTAACACTGTAACTTTAAAAACCAAATTTGTTATTTTGAGGTAGTGGGTTTCAGTAAAGTTTCCTATAATTTTGTCTTAGAAATGTTATAGTGTAACTTTGGAAAAATTATAGCAAATCAACCTAGGACTAGGGTGTAAGAATATCTCATATTCAACTTAGGAATACTGATTTTCTATTTAAGTTATTGAAATTTGTTAAACTAAAAACTCTTAGAAAGTTTTTTAAAAAAAAAATGCAATCTATCAATACCAATTTGAGCAATATTAGATAAAAAATAAGCTTAGTATTGTTTCTAAGTCTTTTTTGAAAAGATTCAAGTGAAACAAATTTTTTATTAGGCTTCTTCTGAAGCTTCTTCTCACTTTTATTTCTTTTTTACTTTTTTTTAAGTGTCTTTTTTCAATCTTTTATATTTTCATGTGAGGATTACTATATCGGGATAAATCTTAATAATTTTGAATTTCACTATTATCTTCCTAAAATTAAAAGCTCAAAACTTTCCCTCACTTTTTAAAAGTGTAAGTATTAGTTTTATTAAAAAAATTTCAATAAAGACTCAATCTCTTAAAGTGTAAATCTGAGAATCTTATCTTTTTAAATATTCAACTTCTTTCTACCGTAAATAACAAAATCGTTTTTCTAATATTTCCTACAAAATATCTTAACTCTACAACAATTTTCTTCACATAGGATCCCAATTAAGTTTTTTTTCTAACATTCATAAAATCAAAATTATAATAATCTAAAGATAACACTACATACCACAAGTCATTTTAAAAGTGATCTCAAATGAAATAAGGCCACTGAAGACAAATAAAGTTTAAGTTTTAAAAATATTTCTTCCCCCTAAACATGATTTTTAACATGCATAGCATTCAATACAGAAAATATAAGCGTGAAGAAAAATAACTGAGAAATTCTATCTACCACGAATGCTTATCTGAAACATCTTTAAGTATTCATCATGATAGAATAATGTGCAGCAGAATGTAAATCTAAACTAAAACATGTTGAATGAAATTAAACTAAGGAAAAGTCTAATTATCACAACAGGTATCAGCATAACAATATATATTGTAATGTTCCTTAAGCTCTCTATCCTGTTGTAACATATACACAAACATCAACACATAAATGAGATCAATTATTCCTTCATCTCATGACACCTCCGATCAATTGGGTGCTTTTAAATGCTTATCCCTGATATATTGGCTCAGGAGCACCAACCTCAGACATGACCTTATCCCTTTAAGTATGCACCTCTAATAGTTATAAGAGTAGTGTAAGATCATTCTAGGTTTTTCTTCAATTGGTTTATTGAACCATATCGAAGAAAACAATGTCACATAAAGGAAGTAACATAATTTAGATGAACATGTTCTATGTCCAAAGTCATCATGTCTCCAATTAATCCTCAAGTCCGATTTAGAACTGAGTCGTAATGTACTCGTTAATGCAACTATTACAAGAAAAAAATATAAGTCTAGTCACAATGAGAATTTAAGGAATCACCTCACTCATGACGCACAAAGTTCAAATCAATCCATTAATAATTCAAACATCCCCCAACATCAATCAAATTGATTAATCCACACTAAAACAAACACATCACACCTCAAACAATTACAACTCACAAACATACTAACAAAGACAACCTATGGACCTCCCATAAAGCGCTTGGTTTAATGTTGTCAACTTGATGAATCTCAACGTTATACATTTTTCACTTGCTTACCACATTTTCTCCCTAGGGTCTTCTAATCCTCCTAAAAGTTTTCTCTAGTTTTGAGTCGTATAATTCAAGGTCTGCAGTATGTGAGCTAAGCATTCAACTCTAAAGACTTAATTAATAGGACAGATATCCAGTACTTCAAGCACTCAAAAATATTTTTGGTATTTTGGATTTTCTTTTAAATAGTCTCATAATAAATAAACACACTAGATAATAACCTCACAATTTTCAAATCTAAGTCTTTCAGGTTCAACTAAAATTCTCCTAAAGCTCTTACCGTTGTTTCCCTTACAACGACGCCAAAAAATTGACCCGATTTGCAGTTACACAGTTATTTGGTTTCCTGACAAAAACTTGACACAATTTCTTTAGGCGGCTAGTGTGCAAAATGTATATGCTATAGAGTTTAGAATTTGATTTATAGTTTACACATTAGAGATTCTACGAAAGTATACCTATTGTTTAAGTAATATATGACTCTAATGGAGTCCCGATTATCGATCCCACAGGGAAGCGATGTAAGAAATCTCTAAGGCTAAGTTATAGCTATTACTATCAGGTTTTAATTTTTAATGCGGATTAAGGGTATTTTTCTAACAATTTCTCCTAAATACAAACATAAATCTAAAGTTAACCTAACTAGATATATTGGTTTGATGAATTTTGAGGTGTAAAAACTACCTTTCTCTTGTGTCGATTTAGATAATATGTAGGAATGTGATACTTAGAATCTAATGTGACCAGTGACAAAATGTAACATGCATAACGTAGCTCAGTTAACCTATGGATGTTTCCTTCAAATAATTAGATTATCACGGCGAAACTTGTAGCTTGTCACGCTAGAGTCTCTTTCTCCTAATAGCTCTCTAATTGACTTGATTTTAGATTGAATGTACGAACCCTAGATCAAATTGGTTAGAATTCTAGCCTGTCATCCCAGAAATACCAATTTGCACTTATCAACGAATATCTCCCTAACATTGCATTGAATTTTATGACTAATTTTCCTATATCCATGAGTTCAACGTGGTTCCTCATAGTTGTTAAAGTCATAGCCCTCCTGCAACTTATGAGTTTACAACAAATTTTAATATATCATTTGACCATATTGATTAGTAAATGAAGCATGAAGTAAAAACCATCACTATTATTTTAAAAACTTATTCTAACATGCATCCTAACATCTTATATATTCATCCAATTCATTGCAAAAGAAAACTACAAGAATTCTACTGTACAAAACATGTGCCCCACATAATAGAAAGCTTCATTAAATCAAACCAAAACCACTAAATAGGTGTTTAAAACAAGTACAAGATAATGAAGAACACAATACTTAGTTTTTTTCATCTGAAAAGAAAGATGAAAATCTCTCCAACAAAGTCTCTTGCTGAATCCATGCAATGTTAATATAATTCTTTACATATATCTCTCAAAATCCCCTCACTAATCTATTTAGAAATGGTAAAATCTACGTTTCCTACTATTATCTACGACCTCTCGGCCTTATTGGAGAATTTCAGGACTTAAAAATGCCAAAAAGTCATTTTCCAAACGTCTAGATTTGTCAAATAACTCTTTGGGGCGTGCAAAAACTACCCTTGGACAGTTCGGGCGCCTAGGTGCGAGTCTGCGGTGTCTAGGCTCCGTCTTTTCTATTTCCTCGGCGGAGATTGGCTCCTAGGCGCCAGCCTGTGGTCGTTTCAACTCCAATCCGCTCCAAGTACTATACCTGCAAGATCAACATGAAATTAACCTTTCTTTATGATGCAAAAATCTGTGATAAATGTAAAGGAAATTAAGCATAAAAAGACATAGCAACGTTTTCTAAAAATAAACTGGAAAGATCTTGCCTTATGTTGCTGATTTTTTAGTTTTTTTTTTCCTCGGTAGCCTTTCTTTTAACCCCTTTTTTTTCTATCTACCCTCCAAA